TCCAGCTTAAACCAGCCAACTAGCCTAGGCTGGTTTAAGCTGGATTTTTTTAGCAGGGTTTCCTGCTGAAGTAAACGTATACTGATTTAATAGGACAAAATAATTATTAAAACATATTCTTTTTAAATACTTACATTTAAAATGTAACTACAATTAAACACACATGGTGTCAAATGAATCATAAAATGAATCATAAAATAAAGAAGGCTGCAGATTTGTAGATATTTGTGCAACCTAACGCCGACCTGTTTGCATGGTGGAGGTTGTGTGAGTGTGTGATTGGCTCCGTCGCAGTCGATCCAGCAGGTGCTGTCGAACCTGAAGCCGTCTGTGCATTGATACATCCCATAATAGACGGATGGAGGAGCGGGACAGGTGACGGCTTCACATGAGCCCTCCAGCCAGCGCCCATCCTCTGTGCACTGACGCTTGAACGCCCTCCTGAAACAAACAAACAAACAGTAGGTAGTATTGTCGCCTCTCAGCAAATAGGTCGCTGGTCTGAGTCCTGGCTCAGTTGGCATTTCTGTGTGGAGTTTGCATGTTCTCCTCTTAAGTGGCTGTGTGTTTTTCAGCTGCTGAATTCTGACCTCTTTGGCTTGTTGGCCACGTGGTATCCAGGTTTGCACTTGTATTTGCAGAGCGTTCCCACTTTGAGTCCGGTGTCGTTGCAGCGTTTGGTTTGCAGGACGGCATTCGGGACTGGAGGAGGAACGGGACAGCGGAGCTCACATAAAGCCTCCGGAAACGACCACAGGCCGTCCTCCATGCAGGTCAGAGTGTTATTAAAGCCTGCACACACAAATCAAACACGTCAAGATGAAATGCATGCATACACTTATTTTTTTCTTTAACTTTTTTTTTTGAGGTCACATTAAAATGGTCAGTTAATGGCAGTATACAAAAAATATAATAATAAATAAATCAAAAATAAATACAATACTGAGAATTCGAAAAATAAAAAAAGGAATGAAAAATCAAATGAACTGCTTTCAAAATAAAAAATAAAATAAATAAAAATAAATAAATAAAATACTAAGAATAGAATAAATAAATTTAATTAAATATATATATATATATATATATATATATATATATATATATATATATATATATATATATATATATATATATA